CATTCCTGTTGATAAGTTCTTTAGGGGCGTGCTGGGTGACCAAGGGAGGAAGGGAAGAGATGGTTTCTATCATCGAGCTGAACTGTAAAGGAGTTGCAGGATGACAGGTGGTAGCGGGAATTCCGGTGGACTCTGTACAGGGACTCTCTAGAGGAGCTGGCACCCACATGTGCTGCTTGTACACCCTGGCAGAAGGAGAGGATACATCACCATGGCGGGACATTTGCCAGAGGTAAATACAGTAACAAGGCACCGGTAAAGATGAAGCTGTTGGCCAAGTTCCAAGGACCCCTTTATAAGACTGGGTAGAGGAAGGGGTAGCCAATGGTGTCCCAAGGACCACTCACCATTACTCCAAGGAATAGCTCATGGAGACAGAATTAAGAGCACATCTACGTAAGCTCCTTGATTCATGCTCTGATTCATGCTCTTTGTCGGCTGGTAACTTCAGGCTTAGGAAGGGAAGGTGATCAGATCATAGAAGCCACAGGGACCTGAAGAACCCCTCTGGTGTGCTGCTGCTATGTAGAAGTCATTCGATTCATACAGCTACCCTTTCAGGTCAGATTTGGCCATGGCTTCCTTCCTCCCTTTGCCTTCTCAACCAGTAATCTGAAAGGGTTCACCAAGTATTCTGGGTAGAGGATGGGGAGGGGAGAGCAGGCTGGTTGGGTAGCCATGTCTCTGACACTCACAGGGCCCACCTGGAACTCAGCAGCTGTGTCCAGTAATGCCACGCTCAGTATTGCCACTGAAACCCAGGGTCCAAAGGAGTAGAGCAGTGATGAGAATGAGAGAATGAGATCAGAAGAGACACATCTTCCTTCTTCTGACCCTGAGTGGTTCCCACCTGGTCCTGGTCCTGGTACTGGTCCTGGTCCTCCCACGATGGAGGGTCACACTGATAGGTCATCTGACCTGGCCCTGCTGCTGGCCTTGCTAAGACGGCGCTTGTCGCTATGGTAGCCATGGGGAAGACGAGGGCCTGGTGAGGCTCCATTGGGCACCTCAGGCTTCTGGCCATAACGAACGTGAATGAAACCCTCCATGGGAATCTGCTCCTGGCCCTGCACTTGCTCAGTGGCCAGGTTGTCTGTGTTCTGCTGGGAGGCCGTATTATTACTGAAGGGGTTAAAGAATTTCCCCCCAGGGCCATTGTCCAGGCACTGACTGAAGTCGGGAGGTGGGGTGCAATTCTGGACTATGCCCGCAGAGGGGCCAGGAAGACGGCACTCAGCCATGCTCTGCCTCGACTTGACAAACCGCTGTCTGATCTTCTTCCAAGCCAGGTGGTAGAGTTCAGCCAGGCTGAGGAAGAGGGACAGTGCGGCCACAGCCAGCATAAAGACAATGAAGACATTCTTCTCCGTGGGCCTGGATACATAACAGTTGACCGGGTGGGGACAGGGACTCCTGCGGCAGACATGCAGAGTGCTCAGGAAGATCCCATAGAGGAGGTACTGGCCCACGATGAAAGCCACCTCCATGGTGGTGCGGATCAGGATGCTGCAGACGTAGGTGTTGAGCAGAGTGCCCTGGAGGACAATCTTGCCATTCACTTCCTCCCAGCAAGACAGTTCTGTCTTCTCCACCACTGGGTACTCGTAAGAGCCAGCACCCCGGACCTCCTTGGCCCTCTCGGCCTCACGTAGCTTCCGCTTCTCCTGCATGCGGACGGTGTGCATGGCATGGCCCATGTACAACAGCGAGGGTGTGGACACGAAGATGATCTGCAGCACCCAGTAGCGAATGTGGGAGATGGGGAAGGCCTGGTCGTAGCAGACGTTCTCACAGCCGGGCTGCATCGTATCACACTGAAAGTCAGCCTGCTCATCCCCCCAGGAAGACTCGGCGGCCGTGCCCAGCACCAGCATGCGGAATATGAAGAGCACAGTGAGCCAGACTTTGCCGATCACCGTGGAGTGCTTGTGTACTTCTTCCAGAAATTCTCCCAGGAAGCTCCAGTCACCCATCTTGGCTCAGCCAGGGGATGGACACCAAGACTTCTGCAAACGAGAGAGGGAGGAAGAGAGAAAAGAGAGGGATGTTTCTGCAAGTATCTGGAGGGTCCCATGGTGCTCTGGGATTCCACCGATCCATAACCATATGTTATTTTAGAAAGTGCAACTTAGAAGTCAAAGCCCGCACTCTCTTTTTCACCTTCGCAAAAATAAAAGGAAAGATTCAAAGTGGTCCTATTAGCATGATTTGAGCATGGCTCCCACACTTTAATGGATCTAGAAAGCAAATGAGAAATGTGTTACGAGGTGGGTTCGGTGCTCTTACCCCAGAGATTACACTTCTCAAGGGCTGCGGTGGAACCCAGGAATCTGGATTTGCATCAAGCAGCCCAAGGAATTCTGGGGCAGGCAGCCCAGAGACGCACCTGGGGACACACTGGGGCAATAGGAAGAACACAGGATGGGAGCCTGCAAGTGTGACTCTGGGCATGTACCATGTACCTCACTGAATCTGTTTCCTCCTTAGCAAGTAAGGACAGAAATAGCTACATCAGAGAATTTGGGGGATCAAATGAGATGAGGTGTATGATATACTGAAAGTCATACCACAAATGTTCCATATGTTTGAATGGCTGTGGGATGAAAAAGGAATTTTTTTTTTTCTTTATGGCTCCAAAGGATGTAACTAGGTGAACAAGGAAGGAGGGTAGGTAGGAGTGGCAAATTTAGCCCCTCAGGAAGCACTCTATAATGATCAGAACCATACAGCAGGAACCAGTTGTGTGGGGAGGTGGTGAACAAAAAAAAAAAAAAAAAAAAAAACTATGCATGCTTTGGTCTTTGAACTAAAGGTTATCACAGATGAGTGCTTGGTTACCCCATCTGGTAAGCAACAGACCATGGGGTCTCCCCCACCTCAGCACAGCACAGTCGGTCCAACCGTTCATCTTGGCTGGCCCTGCTGTTGTGTTCCATATACACAGACCTCTCAGGCTTTCATACAGAATAAATGTCCCAAACCTTTACATTCCCTATAGAATCCTCTTGGCCTGCTTTTTAGCCTCATTTCCTGCCCCCATGAGTTCCCTTTGTCCAACCATGCCAAGTCCTGGCAAATTCCCAAATGCCCTCTTTCCAAATACCTCCTCCACGACCCCTCCCAACTAGCTGAATTCCGTTTAGTCTTCAAAACTTAACCTAGTCATTGCTTTCTCCAACCCTCCCTGCTCCCTCAAGCTGAGCCTCTTTGTCTTCTGTGATGACCATGGGGACACTGACTCCTCTTCCAGCACTTGCCACCTTGTTTTATAATCCCCTTTGATACCTGTCTGGTGTGTTTTGTTTCATTTTAAGACTTTTGCCATGGGGTGCATGTGCTCACTGGAGAGAGACAGAGAGGGAAAGTGAGAAATCGCCCCTCAGCAGGGACAGCCACACTGCAATGCCTTCTCCTCCATTCTCTTCTCGGCATTTTGGGCATGTACGCATACCTGGCATGTTTCTCAAGCTGCTGCATCAGGGACTTTAACCATGGTCGGCCATGTGGGAATCCAGTGCCTTCACCACCACATCACCTCCTGGCTCATTACCCATTTGTTTTAATAGGGATCATTTGAGAACAGAGACTGTTTTTACCACAGTATCATCGGAGTCTGGCCCAGACTACATGCTTAGTCAAACTTAGTTGGGTGGAGGAAGGGCATACGGGTATTTCCTACCCAATGGCAAACCAATTCCCTATTCTTTGCTTACCCCCTGTTGGCAGGGTAGAACTTTCTCAGTCTCCACTGCAGGTAGTTCTAGTCAGTGAGGTACGGGGAGTCTCCTGTGGAGGGACTGCTCTAGAAAAGGTTTTTTTCATCCCCCAGAAAGCAGGAGGGAGCTTCACCAACAGCCCTCTCCATCTTCATTGCTTCTTCCCTGGGGACAGAGTTGTGTGAGCCAAGTGTTTGAAACTGGCCAGAGAATCTCAGAAGTGCCAACTAGTACCCTGCTTTGAAACTCCTACTTGCAAAATTCTTACTTGGTGAACCACAAATGCCTTTATGATTTAAACTTCTAACTAATCCTAATCAACAGGATGACAAAAAGACAGGGAACTAAACAAAATATTCTCTTCTTAGAATCATAAAACCTCAGATTGGGACTGGACCTCAGAAGCTGACAAGTTCAAATTTGACCTTCATTTCTTTGCTGCCAATGTGCTCCTGGCTCCTATTAGAACATTCTTTATGTTTATGAAGAAAGACAAGGTAGGGGTGCTGCATTTCATTGTCCAGGCTTCCGTGGCTCCTGAGTTGATGTTTTGAGAGTTCAGTGTCCTAGCTCTATCTTCTCCCAGTCCCTAGGTCCCCAACCCTGAGAGTGTGCAGAACCCCTGGGAATGAGGCAGTTGCTGAGTGAGCAGAAAGCGTCTTATCTCTCTGTTCCTCCCCATATCAAAGACCCACCCAGGTCTCAAGGCCGTTTTTTCTGGTTTGTGATCAGACATCTGCCTTTTTTCCTCAGGTGGTGAAGGGTGCCCTCCTTCAACCTCCAAATGTGGAAAATTGTGTAGCATTTGCTCAAAAGGAAAAACGGCTGATTAGATAAGAGTTTGAATGGTCTGTCATCTCTTCTGGGCACGTGTACAATGCTCAGCACCTTCAGGGTCAGCCACACACACGCAATGACCAGTCTATGGTGAGTGTCTGAGAGAAAGAGGGAGGGAGGCGTGGGGGGTGGTGAGAGAGGAGGAGCAGAAAAGGAGAATGAAAGAGACCGTTGAAGATGGAAAAAAAGAAACCAATGGCTAAGGGAAGACAACTGTGAAACCTGGATAACTAAAATTTAAATCCCTATTTCTATGTGCTGAGCTTGGATCAATTATTCATTCTGTTTTACTTTTCTCACCTGAAAAATGGAGATACTATTATTCAGTTCATAGGTTGTTATGAGAGATACATAAAAAGCTTTTAACATGATGTTTAGCATATGAAGGGATAGTCTGCAAAAGTTTCATGGAGAATGTGTACTATGAAAAACTATGCAAGGGGACCAGCAACTGGCATAATGGCTATGTTGCCGGACTCCCATGTAGTTGACCACAGTTCAAGTCCCAGACCCAGTGGTTTAAACTCACACCAGGTGCATGTGCGTGAGTGCCCAAGATCCCGAGAGGAGAATGGAGGAGAAGGGATTGCAGTGTGTCCATTCCCCCTGAGGGGTGATTTCTTGCTTTCTGTCTCTCTGTCACACATGTCCTATAGCGAAAAACTCTCCAAAAAAAATTATGCATGAATTTCAATATTTTTTGCACCACAATAAATTCATACTTTTATTTCATTTCTCACAAATTTTTTGGAGTCTCCTTGTATAAGAACTGAATAAGGACCAGCAGGTAGCATGGTGATTAGGGCACTGGACTCCCATATTGCTGACCGCTGTTCAGGTCCCAGATGTGGTGACTTGCTTTCTCACTTTCTCTCTCTGTCTCTCTCCTGTGAGCACACATACCCTGTAGCCAATTGGGAAAAAAAAAAAGATAAATAAAATTGAATGGATAATTCTTTTTTTCTTTTTTTTTTTTTAGAGATACTTTTGCTATAGGACACTGGAGAGAAAGTAAGAAGTCACTCCCTGGGGGGGATGGCCACACCACCACAATCCTTTCTCCTCTTGGGATTTTGGGCATGCACGCACACATGCCTGGCATGAGTTTCAAGCTGCTGGGTCCAGGACTCAAACTGTGGTCAGCCATGTGGGAGTCTAGTGCATTAAGCACTACACCACCTGCTGGCCCAGAATGGATAATTTTTAAAAAGAAAAAGAAGGAAAAGAAGAAAGGAAAGAAAAGAAAAGAAAATTAAAGAAAAGAAAAGAAGAAAAGAAAAGAGAAGAACTGAATAAAAGGTATAATCTTGCTGTTACTAGGAAAGAGAGTGATTGAGAGGAAGAGGAAGAAGAAAAAGTATACCACAGAGAGCATAAGAAATACTGAAAGAGCAGAAGGGGAAGAAATAAGAGGAAAAGGGAAATGGAAATAAAAAAGAAGCAAAAAGAAATAAATATCTTCCAAGAGTTTAAACAAGCTTTTTTAAAAAAAAAATTATTTAACTTTTGTTTATTATCTTTATTTTAAAATTTGACCAGAGATAGAGAAAGAGAGAGAGAGAGAGAGAGAGGGCATGCACACTGCTAGGTCTAAGACTCAAACGTGGTCAGCCATGTGGGAGTCCAGCATCTTAGCCACCATGCTACCTGCTGGTAGAATTTGGACAAGCTTTCTATACTCAACCCCAGAAGACTTCCCTTGATCTTCTCACTCTGTCACTCACTCCTTGCAAATCACCAAGGAAGCCAATAGTGGCAGGCAAAGAATATGATGCTTTGGTCTGGACTACCAAGAAGCTTACTAGCTGACTCCCCACTTGTGGCGCAAGGAATCCCACCTGTAAGAAGGCACAGGTGCAAGAAAGGAACAGCTTGGAAAATCAGAAAAACAGTATTAGGAAGGATGTCTCTTTGGACAGGAATTGACAGAAACTACCTGAGGAGGGGTGTGGGTGAGGCAGACTTCTAGGCCCTGGCCGAGGAAATAGGGTGAAAAACCTTTCATCTTTTTACTTCCTGGCTGACCCTCAGGCAAGGTCCCAGAGAAACTCCAAGTTGCCACCATGTGCTAGCGCTCAGTGGCTGTGAAAGGTCCCTGGCAGGAACCAGTTTTCCAGCTACATTGACTTCCTTTGGGCCTCCACAACCTCAGCCAAAGAAACCTGTGGATTAGATACTCAGTGGGTTTACTGGGTGTATAGGATGTGAAATGCTTTGTAGATTATTATCTGTTTCTTGTCCGGAAATGTGTTAGGAGGGGCAAAGGAAACTGCCCATGCCATGAATAAATTCTATCAACTACAATGGTCATTTGCTCACTGCTTTTGCCACAGTCCACTGGCTCCCTACCACTTATAAAGTCCAAACTCTTTCACTTGCCATTTGAAACCCTCCACAGCACAGCTTCATCCTAACTTTTATCAACTGTTCCTCTCACGTACTACTTACGTTAC